GGCTACTTGGAAGGCTGAGGTGGAAGGATCGCCAGAGCCCAACAGGTTGAGGCTGTGGTGGCCGGGAACGTGCCAATGCACTCCAGTCTTGGCGACAGAGTGAGACTCCAACTCAAAAAAAAAAGAAAAGAAAATCATAAAAGAGCCAGGCACAGTGGTTCATGCCTATAGTCCCAGCACATTGGGAGGCTGAGGACCAGACTGGGCAACATAGCAAGACCTTGTCTCTAACAAAAAAATACAAAAATTGGCTGGGCATGGTGGCATGCACCTGTAGTCCCAGCTACTTGGGAGGCTGAGATGGAAGGTCGAGGTTGTGGTGAGCTATGACTGCGTCACTGCACTCCAGCCTAGGTGGCAGAGTGAGACACTGTTTCAAAAAAAAAAAAAAAATCATTACAAGGGCGTGGTATAATCCCAGCACTTTGGATTGCTTGAGCCTCGGAGTTCAGGACCAACCTGAGCAACATAGTGAAACCTTGTCTCAACCAAAAAAAATTTTTTTTTTTTTGAGTTGGAGTTTCACTCTGTCACCCAGACTGGAGTGCAGTGGCCACTCACGGCCACCCCAGTGTTGACCTGCTGAGCTCCAGCGATCCTTCCACCCAGCCTTCCAAGTAGCTGGAACTACAAACGCGCGCTAACATGCTCAGCTAATTTTTTATTTATTTATTGTAAAGATAAGGTCTTGCCAAGTTGCCCGGGCTGGTCTCGAACCCGCAAGCTCAGGCAATCCATTCACTTCAGCTTCCCAAAGTGCTGGGATTATAGGCTGAGCCACCAAGCCCAGCCTGAGCTGTTTGCTGTCTCAGGGGTGGCAGAGGTGGAAGAGGTGGAATGGAAGGTAGGCGAGGCAGGCACACTTGGTTTAACTTTACGGAAATTCATCATCATTTCTGTCTGGGTTTTGTTTTTTGCTTTTTCACTGCTCTAAAAATGTTTCTACACAGTACCAATCCTTCTTCCACCATTTGCTTGCATTTCAGTGCCCATATCGTAGAAGGGTCCATATTGTAAAACAAGTCAAAAACAGGCTTGAATTATCAGAACTTTTCTGCCAGATGGTCTAAAGTCAACCTGTTTTCTGGCATTGGTTCTTCCACGTCTTCCTCATCATCTGGCACTGGTTCAGAAGCACTTGTCTCCATTCAGTCCTCTTCAGTTAATTCCTCTGGTGTGATCTTGAATTTTACCAAGATTCATATCTTGAAACACTTTCACTTCTCCTCCCACCTTTTTTTTTTTTTTTTTTTGCCATATCCACTATCTCTTTTATGATTTCCTCGATTGGTCCTGTCATAAACTCTGTGGAATCATGCTCAACATCTGGACACGGCTTTCTCCAGCAGAAATGTGTTGTTTTGGGTGTGATGGCTTTCATAGTTTTTTTGTAACAATGATTATATCTTCAATGGTGTAATTCTTCCAAGCTTTCATTATGTTCTTTCAGATCTTCAATGGTGCTGACAATCCTTTCCATAGAGTACCATGTGCAATGAACCTTAAAGGTCCTTATGACCTCCTAATCTAGAGACTGAATTAGAGATGCTGTGTTTGGGGGCAAGTAGGCCACTCCATCATCTTTGGAGTTGAACTCATTGGGTTCTGAGTAGTCTGGGTATTGTCCATTATCGAAAGGGGGCAGTCTCTTACTTGAAGGGTACTTCCTGGCTTCAGGTACAAAGCATTGATTGAAACAATCAAGAGAAAGCATTCTCATTGTCCAGGTATTTTTGCTGTACAACCCAAAGACTGGCAGCTAGTGTTGATGTTTTCCCTTCAAGCCTCAGGGGTTAACAGCTTTAGAAATAAGGGCAGCACTGATCATAAATCTGACATCTGCACAAAATAGTAGGGTTAGCCTGTTCATTCCAACCTTAAATCCTGGGGCTTGCTTCTCTTCCTAATAAGTGTCCTTTGTATCATCTTTTCCCCCGAGAATAGGGTAGTTTCTTCTCCTCAATGATTTTCTTTTTCTTTTTTTGAGTTGGGGTCTCACTCTGTCGCCCAGACTGGAGTGCAGTGGCCACTCCCGGCCACTGCAGCCTCTACCCACTGGGCTCTGGTGATCCTTCCGCCTCAGCATTCTGAGTAGCTGGAATTACAGGCGCGCGCTACCACACCCAGCTAATTGTTTTGATTTATTGTAGAAATGAGGTCTCACCAAGTTGCCCAGGCGGGTCTCGAACCCGCGGGCTCAGGCAATCCACTCACCTCAGCCTCCCAAAGGCACGGGATTATGGCTGAGCCACAGAGTCCGGCTTCAATGATTTTCTTAATGGCATCTACGAACTCATCCGCTGCAGATACTATAGCAGATACTGGTATTATGGTAAGCAACTAGTAATTGCTGCTATTTTATGTACTTCCAAATGTCTTTGAAAATTCCAGAGTTATTCCAACTTGCTCTCCCATCAACACTGACAAAGAGTTCCAACTTCCCCACATGTTCTCCAACAACTCAGGCTATCAAATATATTATTTTTTAAACCAATCTGATGGGTGTATCTCCAGTTGTCTTAATTTTCATTTCCCTGATTACTACCAAGTATAATTGTCATTAATTATTCAAGCACCACTGCAGTCTAAACCTGCTGGGCTCAGGTGATCCTTCCATCTCAGCCTTCCAAGAAGCTGGAACTACAGGTGTGTGCTACCACTCTCAGCTAATTTTTTGATTTATTATAGAGATGAGGTCTCGCCAAGTTGCTCAGGCTGGTCTCGAACCCCTGAACTCAGGCAATCCTCTCACCTCAGTCTCCCAAAGTACTGGAAATATAGGCTTGAGCCACGGTGTCCGGCCAACTGTATACATATTCTTGATACCAATATGTTTTCAAAATAATTTTTCCCACTGTTTGATTTGATTATTCAATTTTTGATGGTGTCTTTTATTATGAAGAATTTTTTTATTTTAATGTAGTTACAGAGAAACTGCTAGTTGCCCACCAAACTCAATCCTCCCTTTTCCATAATAATATTGGGAGCTGGGTCCTCTCTGAGCTCGGAACTGCTTGGTGGCTGCGATGGCCAAATGCACCAAGAAGGTTAGAATCCTTGGTAAATACGGGACTGCTATGGGGCCTCGCTCAAGAGGATGGTGAAGAAGATCGTGATCAGCCAGCACACCAAGTACACTTGCTCCTTCTGTGGCAAAATGAAGAGACGCACTGTGGGCATCTGGCACTGTGGCTCCTGCATGAAAACTGTAGCTGGTGGAGCCTGGACCTACAATACCACTTCTGCAGTCACGGTAAAGTCTGCCATCAGAAGACTGAAGGAATTGAAAGACCAGTAGAAGCTTCACCATTTGAGACATCACTAGCCTATAATAAATTGCTTAATTTATGTAAAAAAAAAAAGTCAGAGCTGGGCATGGTATTTTGCTTCAAAGTTGCCAACAATGGAATGTACCTGGAAGTACTACTTCTGGGTATAGGTCTTCAAATGTTAAGCATGTATTCAATCACTGTCTTTTTACCTTCCTTTACACTGCTATGTTAGAAGTTGCAATGTAGAAAAATCTTGCAAGCTACATGTTGAGGATAACAGAGCTACCCAACTAGTTTGAGTCTCTAGAATGGCTTTTGGGGGCAAAGTTCATCTACCTATCCTCAACTATTAATTAAATGAGAAATAAACCGGGCTCGGTGGCTCAGCCTGTAATCCCGTGGCTTTGGGAGGCTGAGGTGAGTGGATTGCCTGAGCCCACGGGATCGAGATGCGCCTGGGCAGCAAGACTTCATCTCTACAATAAATCAAAAAATCAGCCGGGTGTGGTAGCATGTGCCTGTAATTCTGGCTACTCGGAAGGTTGAGGCGAAAGGATCGCCAGAGCCCAGCAGGCGAGGCTGCAGTGGCCGGGAGCGGCCATTGCACTCCAATCCAAGTGACAGAGTGAGACTCCAACTCAAAAAAAAAAAAAAAAAGAAAAAGAAATAGACTGAGGCGAGAGGATTGCCTGAGTCCAGGCGTTCGAGACCAGCCTGGCAAATTTGGCGAGACCTCCTCTGTACAATAAATCAAAAAATTAGCTAGGCGTGGTGGCACGTGCAGTCCCAGCTACTTGGAAGGCTAAGGCGGAAGGAGTGCCTGAGCCCAGCAGGTCGAGGCTACGGTGGCCATGATCCTGCCACTGCACTCCAGCCTGGGCATAAGAGTAAGACTCCAACTCAAAAAAAAAAAAAAAAAAAGAAGAAGAAGAGAGAGAGAAAGAGAAATAAATGTATATCATTTTATCCACTACATTTTGAATATCTTTTTTAAAAGACGCTTAGTCAAATATACCAAATATATTTAAGAAGTATTTCTTAGGTAACACACATATGGCAATTACAATAGTCCCCCTTAGCTGTGATTTTTGTTTTTTATTATTTCAGCTACCTGTGGTCCAAAAATATTAAATGGAAAATTCCAGAAATAAACCACTCATAAATTTTAAATTGAATGCCATTCTGTAAACACTACCCACCCATCACTTAGTAGCCGTTTCAGTTATCAGGTCAGAAAACACATAATGCCAGGTGCAGTAGCTCACACCTGTAAACCCAATACTTTGGGAGGCCAAGGCAGAAGGACTGCTTGAGCCCAGGAGTCTGAGACCAGCCTGGGCAACATAGCAAGACTTCATCTCTACAAAAATAAAGACATATATATAGATAGATGATATTATACAGGGTATAGTACTATTTGTGGTTTCAGGCACCCACTGAAGGTCTTGAAATATATCACCTGAGAATAAGAGGGGACAACTGTACTTTATTTTGGGGTGTTTGCCCTTTTGTCTCATAAGATATCCCGCTTGAGATCAAAAGCCACATCCTATATATTTTTTTCTAAAACTTGTAAAGTTTTACTTCTCAAATGCAGACTTTAATCCTGGAATGTAGTTTGTGTACAGCTGAGGTAAGGATTTATAGTTTTTATATGCAGTTAGCCATTGTTTCAGCACTATTTATTGACTATTTCATCCCACTGATTTATAATGTCACCTCTGTCATATACAGAGCATGGTGGCGTGTGCCAATAGTTCCAGCTACTTGAAAGGCTAAGGTAGAAGGATTGCCTGAGCCCAGCAGGTCAAGGCTGTGGTGGCCGTGAGCATGCCACTGCACTCCAGCTTGGGCAACAGAGTGAGACTCCAACTCAAAAGAAAAAAAAAGAGAGAAACTATATCATTTTAGCCACCACATGATCATAGATAGATGAATTTTCTGTTCCATTAGTCTATACTTATAACTTATGCCAGTGTCACACTGCTATGATTACTAAAACTTCATATTAAATATTGATGTTCAGGACAAATCTCTTATTGTTTTTCAAATTTGTCTTGAAAATTATTGATATCTACTCTTCCATTTAAACATTCACCTAACAAATCATACACACACACACACACACACACACACACACACACACATCAGTATTTACAGTGAAACTACATTGAATTAATAGATTAATATGAGAAGAAAGCTGGGCTCGGTGGCTCAGCCTGTAATCCCGCGCCTTTGGGAGGCTGAGGTGAGTGGATTGCCTGAGACTGCGGGTTCGAGACCTG